CTTCTTTTTAACAATTTATACTATCTGGAAAAGATTTTAATTCAATAAACATCTTGGTTTCATGTGTAGCGGAAAACGCGAAAGAATTCGTAGTAGCAGGTTCGGTAAAAATTTACTTAAACGTACCAATATTTTTAGTAAGACAATAGAAGTACGTAAGCTCCTAAGAAATAAATAAAGTTTTTTAGAGCCACTCATTTGACACTTAAGACGAAACTACAAGTCTTAAATTCAACGTTCTCTATAAAAAGTCTTCAGGTAAAGAATACTCATCTTCCTTATTCATGTCTTCAGTAGGGACAGTTTCAAATTGTTCAGCATACAAATACCATTATTCGAACTGCCCAAATAATGATTTTAAAGGAAATGCGGAAAAGACGCGTATTTCTTATTTGCTCCCACAAAGCAAACTGTGCAAAACGCTCGGCTACCACCTGCCACGAACTGCTGCTTGTACTAATTTGTACTGCAGGGCTCAATACTTTTCGTGCAGTCGTCCAGTCTAGCACTTTAATAGCACTCCTGCTTAAAATTTTTCTTTAAAACCCCCCTACTTTTTTTATAAAATGTCATTCAAACGCTTCAGTTAAGCTAAATGTATAGACTCTTGCGAAGCTTGATCACAAGTTCCCCAGCAGTAAAGTTCCCAACGAAAACTGTGATAGTAAAGTTAGCAACAATTACGTCTTCCACCTTCTCAATTTGCAAAATCCCTCAGAACTCTCCTAAGTGATTTGTTTAAAAATAAGGTTTCTTGATAACTAACATTGCAATTACTGTAACTCACCTAAAACTTTGCCTTTAAAGTCTCAACGAATTTCGTTCTTTCGACAACAACTGCTTCCTTAATTATTGGTTTACCAGTTTTGTTGGTTTGGGTTAATGTGAGTATGAAAACTACAAACCTTTTAATTAGCGGTTTTTGGAATTAGTGCTCATTGGTAAAACTATTCCATCTCAACAGCATCTTACATTTCCAGAAAATTTTAAACGACATATATTATTACAAAAAACTTGAGGATAAAATAATCCTCACGACGCACCAAACGGAAGTTTTACAATATTTTCATACTAACCAGTTGTCAAAATAAAAAAAAAAAACGATAAAAAGCTTAAAATGGTAATAATAACCCTTCTATAAAAAGTTTTCAGCTGTTCGGGAACTGGTAATTGTAAAAATGCAAAAACAGATTTCCTTCTTCTCTAATATGTATTCTAAAGTACTCAAACAAAGCTTACGAGACGTAACGCTTGAAAGAACTGTTGAGTTAAAATTTCCTTATCCCTAACAGTGATGTGTTTCCTACAAAAATCGCTTTTATACAGCCCATCTCGTTGTAAAGAACACCACTAATCAAAATGGCGGCATTTACAAGTAATCATCTTACTATATTAAAATATTTATTAAAGTTCTGATCATCTGCACTTCCAACGTACACAAAGCTCTTAACAAAACATAGCCAGATAGAACCTAAAAATGAAAAGAAGATCCCAAATGTAGTCAATGAACTTTATGCTGTCTGCCGAAGCAACTCGCTACATAAGATGTTATCCCGTAACTTTCAGCTTGGAAACCTCGTGATGTATTATCTATAAGGATAGAATCCTGTTTTTACTCATCTTCACCTTTTTTTTCTTTCTTTTCAAAATTTCAAGGTGCTGAATTTCAATCCCATTTTTGTAAAAGAGTAAAGGAAATCAAAAAACTTTGCATTCCGAGGATCTTCATCCCGATACGCATCTCATGTGTAACTTTTGTGTTCACAAACTGAAGTGATGGCTTAGAAATGAATGTTTGTCCAGACGGATACAAAAGGTGCATAAAATCCCAACAAGTACCTACAAATCGGTTACGCCCCACCTGCAGAGCCTAATACAGGGTTCTCACTCAGCCTCATTCAACTTAAAAACCTGAATGTTCCATTGCCTAAGAAATGGATATATATTTTCAAAAAGTGGCCTTACAAAAGCATGAATAAAAATACAAACTGCGATACTTGCAGAAAATATTAACAGTAATGAATCCATAAAATTCTCAACTAGTGCAAATCCGGATCTCAAAGATTCAGAAGCGGGAGAAAAAAGAGCACCAAACAGAACCTGCAAGCTAAATAAGACAAAAACTCATCAAAGCACCAAGTTTATGGGAGAAAAAGAAGTGTCGATAACGGAGTATGAATATGTTTCAAAACCGATAAAAACAGTTATCAAAAATCACCTATACAGGAATTCTTGGACTGATCTCGAAAAGGTTTGAATGATCCGTTGCTTGTATTTAAAATTTAAACGGGCCGGATTTTTCGGTGTATTGGCCATTTGCCAACTGAGCTCTTTACGGTTTTCACATCCGACCAACTTGTGATGTATATACATAGTAGGTTTAATGTGCGCATTAGTTGTCATCTTCGCGAGCATTTTCTGTTTGAAGGTTCACAACTAAAAAGAGAAGCAGAAAACATCACTGTGTACCGACAAGGAAGAGTGAAAGGGGAAAAATATAAAAAGACAGCGTACTGGGTTTTTCACGACTGTTTATTTTGACTGTATTATCGCAAATCTGTAAACAAGTCTGTGTTTGTAGAGAATTCAGTGATTGATAGTAACAGTTTCACCGATTATAACCTCTTGATTTTTTCCTTTGTTTATCTAAGCACTTATTCAAATCAGTGTTTCTTACAAGTTTACCGAAGATTTTTTAAACTGGACGTTTAGACCAGCATTCTTTTCAACAACAACAATAAAAAAAATCGTTATAAACCGATAGCGGGAACCACAATTCAGCATAAAATGGGTGGTTCGTTGTTGTTGTTGCAGCCAACAGCAATACCTCAACGAATAGGACAGCAAACCGTTAGTTTCATTATTGAAGCAGGCAATTTGCGAAGTGTATATCGAAATTTAAATTCCCGCTCAGGCAAACGAAGCCTTGGGGAGGACAACGCGCTTTTTTCTTCTTCAATGCGTTGCAAAATTGAGGTGCTGTTAGAACAACCCTCAGCCTTGTTCTCACCGACTTTTGGCTTTTTTTTCATCCCGTTATGTATTTTCACATATAGTGCCTGTTGCGGTTGGTTTGCAGTTTTCTGACATTTCTTTATTGTTCTTTTTCAATAGCCTGTCGGTCTCAGTCTTCTTACCCCAATTTTGAACAATTAAGAAACGATTAATATGAGTTTTGCTTGAATACGTATGGTATCAGTTGTTATTGTCTTGAAGAACTACATTGCTCACCGGTTTATTTGTCTGTCTAGTTGCATCACCTTTTTTTTTCACAGCAGAATTTACAGTGGTTAAGTAAATTCCTGTTTATTTTTGAACTTTTAAAACTTGGCATTTAAAGAAGATGGACACAATTTTGTAAATATAATCTCGTAAGTGTATATCTGCTTAAATGTTACCTTCTCGCATTTGATGATTACTGCATTGTGGCGCGTCAAATAAATGTACTGCGTATCTGACAGTTAAAGTGATTTAGAAACTCCATTTAGTTTTTGCTGCTGGAACTCAAATGACAAACTTGGCAATGATTATCACACTGAAGATTATAATAGATGGTATGTGATTCATCGGTGGCATATGACAAATTCGTTGGTAGAAGCACTGAATGGGAAGTCAGCAGTTATTTGCTGGCTTGATTTGTAGCGATCCAAATCTTGCGGAAAATTTCGTATCTGTTATCGGAACTGTACAGAAATTCAAGTTAAGGGGTAAAAATTCAATTAATATTGCAGTGGAATTTCCGCTGTACTATTTAGTATTTAATTTTAAATTACGTCTCAAGGCTGCTTGATTTTCTCACTTTAACAGAATGTTTTTGAAGCTCTTTGGTCTCCTGATCCTGAAAAAAGTATTCATATAGCTGCGGATTTTGACATACCCTCGGTTTCTCATACTGCATATCAGTTAATGTGTAGACCTGATACTAATATAGTTATTGTTGCTGGTCATCCTGCCCATAACATTGTTTATTGCATTCAGGCACAAGGTAGCTTAGTCATCAGTTTTTTTGGATTCTGATTCTAAAGATATCCTTGATCAGCCTTTTTTTCTCCAGTTTGCCTCTTTTTAGCATGTAAATTGTTGTTTGAGTTACAGAGGAAATACATTAAGTGTCCTCTATTATTAAAAAGATCTAAAAATGTATAAACTGTGTAGAATTTTTTCAGCATTGAAAAAAGAAGTCATTTGCATAGGATGTTTAGCATTATCGGTACGCAGTGCTCAGGTATTGAACCAGTTCACAGAACACTTGGGGCTCTCCCCCGTTAATATCTTTTATCCTCTGAAGTACTCTAAGCCGTTTTCTTTGCTTCGATTGAATGCCGAAAAAATTGGCGTTTTGCACTGTATTCACGTGGAATTTTTTTTTAAATATTCCACGAAGGAAAGAGATAGACTCATGTATGATGCGCCTACTGTACTACATTTATACGGTCACGAGTTAATTGACGCCGTGGCGTCTGTTTGCAAAACTGCACCACAGCGACATGCAATTACATACCGTTGTAAGACGTCGGTAGTTCAACATTTCCGGTACGTTTAGTATCATTTAGTTTACATTCTGGTTCTAGGTATTTAATAATTATTGAGAGCTGGGACAGTAAGCTGGGAGTTTATTAATATTTTTAACAATTTCTTATCGTATAATTTTTCTAGTTGCACTTTAGAGTTTTTAATTTGGTCTCTTGATGTATTTTGGAAGAGTTTTATGTTAAACTATATGCCTCTCTTTTTATGGCATGGGGTTAACTCTGTACTGCTTAGTAGCTAAAGCGGTGTGAAACGGTGTTGTGAAAAGATGATGGGACTTCACGCTTTTCAGCGGGAAAGGGGGGAGGGTTATTGAAGGGTCTTTAAGCAATCTAGTTGAAATGATTTATCAAGATAGGTATTAAGTTTCACGGTTTTTTGAATTGTAGTTTTAAGCTTTACTGTTGTAGGTTGAAAGAGCTTGATTCTGCTCACATACAAGTCGAATATGGGGACACTGTTGCTAATTTTCGGATCGCATCAGCAAACTACGATTTTTTTTCATTGCATGTTGAAGGTGCAAATGGCACATTAGATCTCGACATAAATTACTTGAAACTTGCATGTCAGGGACAGTGTTTGACTCTCTGGCAAGGTAATGGTTCATATGAGTCAATCTTTAAAGATGGTTTACTTAATGCATTGTCATGTTCTACTCCGATTGAAAACATTGACGAAGTCTCTTTGGTAAATTGTATTGGTGATGATTTTTTGTAAATCTTGTTTTTCTTCGCTGATCTGCTTGTGGTTATTTTGTTTCGTGTCTTTTCGTCTTTTGAACTATTTTGAACAACTTGCTTTTACTGATAGCTAGATGAGTACAATTAAGTTCTTAAAGGACACCTAGTTACCGGTGGCACGACCATCCTTGTCTTTTAGCATATTTTGCTGCGATTTTATTGTCATTATCAAGTAGTTAAAGTTTAGTTTTTAGGACACTATTTGCGGTAATATGTCCTAAATCCTTCCTTAAAATAGTAGTTTTGCTGTTTGGTTTGGTTTTTCTTGAATCTTTCCCAGAGAAGCTCTCATTGTTGCGTGTCAAACAAAGTCAGCAGACATTTAAACATTACTGTTTAAAAGTGCTAGAAAGAGCAGAAAATAGATTTGTAAATAGATTGTCTAAGAATGGGAAAAGCTTATTTTCAAATGAATTTACTCACAACCGGTGATATAGTTGTTTTGAAATTTCTTCAATGGTAGCTCCTGAAAACTCTCTGAAAAATGCATCGAGATGATATTCTAATAACTTACTGGTAGATCTTTTGGCTGTCTTAACAGCAGTCTCTGCTGTATGTTGGGCTTTGTTTACTGTTTAGAACTGTAATTACATGGAATTTTTCCTGTCATTAAGTTTATTTACATTTTCCCTTTTAGATTCGATCTCAATGTCATGTAGCTTTTTGATAAATTTTCAAACAATCTTGACAGGAAGTAAATCTTTTAATGAATATGAGGCTTAACGTGATGTGCTAAAGAAGACAAATAAACGGATGTAGGGTGGCGAATTAGGCGAGGAGCAGGTGGGTCGAGGACTGTAAAACTTTGGATGCTGGGCTTGCTGCGTGAAAATCCTTTGAAAGGTTAGGGGGAGTTGTGTGTAATCGTTTTCAGTATTCCAGTTGTGAAGTAAGTATATTTTTCCAAGTTATTCTTCATTTTAACTTATTGAGGTTGCCCTACATTCATTAATTTGCTTTCAGGAGACGGCTGTTTTAAACGTTAATTCTCTGACCTTGTTGATGTAAAATACTTATATTGTACTTTACTACTTTATTTCTTGTTGAAAGAGTTGTCAGCTTAATTTTCCTTTCATAGTGTATCAAATAGTTTGGTTGGGAAAAAAATAACTGTGTTTTTTCTCCAAGAGTGTTTCACCTGGTCGCATTTCAAGTGAACAGTTCACAAAGGAAAAACATTTAGGTTAGAAAGAATGCCTGGGGTAAGGCAGTCAGCTGTTTTCAGAGTTGTTTTTTTGACAAAGAATGGTGTAAAGGGAAGCAGCGAGGTTAATACGCATTTCACTGTTGCAGATTTTTAGTTTTTTTTTTTCGAGAAATGGAGCGAGGGTGTCTTTTTTTTTGTAAGATTTTCTAAATCATACATTTTGTGAATTCAGGGTTCACGTTTGCGGGCAAAAGAGTTACTGTATTTTATGTTTCTCAGGACTTCCTAAGTTTTCTTGCGCAGTGGCAAGAAAAAAACGTTTTGAACGGTTGTTTTGGGCCTATTGCACGAGTAGTCCCGGGTTTCTCAGTGCAGAAAGAACTTGAAATCTGAGACTTTGCCGCCGGTGGTTTTAATGGTTTTTTTCATTGGGAATTGCAATTGCAGTGATTTTAAAATTAAAAACTGATAGGAGGGTCAGGCCAGCAGTCATGCCGACTGAATTTAAACAGTGAGTTTCTTTGTTCTGTTTTTTAAGCCCAACCTGTTGTTGTAGCTAAGGGACAGTTGGGTGCCAAATCGTCAGGTAAAAAGTGTATAAAGTAAGAGTTAGGATGACAATAAAATTTATGAGATTTCCATCAAGTACCCAACTGTCCTTGAGAAATTTTTAATACAGCTGCTTACGGTTTCTAGAAGTCATGGTTATTTCAAACTTGTCAGTATGGTTAATCTCCTTTCCGGTGGTTGTTTGCACAAAACGCATGATTACAGACGACTAATTGAAATTCAGTAATCGGCTTATGATAAACCGTTTCTCAATGCAAAAAAAAAAAAAGTATAAGGTCAATTACATTACACTGCTTATTTGCTGTTACCTTTGGACTTCACTACTTAAAGCATTTACCTGATTTCATTTTACATGAAAAGCTGCATAGATTGTATAAAAAGATATTACGATGAATAAGGATACTAACAATTAAAAAAATTAAAATTATTCAAGTCTAAAAACCTGCGCTAAGATAAACTTCAGTTTCATGTCTTATATCAACAGTTCACTGAAGTTGGTAAGACGTTTAAAAGAAATACCAAGCCTCGTTCTAATTTCCAACTACTAGCTCAAGTTTTCATAGCAGCAAAACTTGTACAGTTATTTCTGTTCAACAGAAGACCTGCAGTAATAGTGAAAGTATTGCATTGAAACCCGGAATAAACCATTTTTGTTGGAAGATCTGATGAATTTTTTAATGGAGTTTTTGAGAGTTTCTACCTACTACTAGGTCTATGCAAAAGTTTCCTTGGTCAGTATTTTGGGCGCGAGGGAAAAAGTTGTTGTTTAAGTGGAATTCAAAAGTTTTCTGAAAGTGCATAGCCTAACAATTAATCTGACGTATAATAGGAATATTCAAATAAACACTAGTTTTGGATGAAGCTTCTCCATCAGTAATAATATAGAGTTAGTTTGGATGTGTAGTAACGTGGTGAAAAATGACCGTATGTGCTGTTAGCTAGGAAAGATTAATAAAGGATTTTGGTTGTTTCAGATAGTACAAACAAGTTAAGAAGGTTGAAGATGACAACACCTAGCACGTCACAAATTCTTGAACTAATCTTCAAGGATTGTTGAGCACTGAATAGTAGTTCTTGCTAGTTTATTCTTTGATAATACTACGCATTGTTTGACGGTTATAACAGTAATAGAAGGTGTCATTTACAGTCAGAAAATTTTCAGTAGAAGATACAGTTGTTCGCATTCTGTGTTTTACTGTAACATCGCTGTTTACCACCAATTATTTTCTGATAATCATTAAATTTGCCCAAACAGGTGATGTTTTTTTTTCTTTCTTTTTTAATGGATGAATAACCGAAAATCACTGGAAATGAAATATTCAAGAAAAAAAATTTGTTTCACTACTAAAGTATTCAATGTTTAAGAGTTGGGATTTGCTACGAGTACTGCTGCATTGCAATAAAGTGAAATAGCTTTTTTTTTCAGCGCTTAAAATATTTTTTTTGTAGGACTGTTACTGTTTTTGCCGTTGTTGTTGTCGTTTCGCTGGGTATTCTTTAATGATGTTGTCAAATAAGAATAATTGCGCAAAAAGCTGTTTATTTTATGGTTTTTTATGATTTTGATATTTTAATTATTTCTGAGCACTTTTCTAAACATTTTGTTGTAAAGAAGAAATCTGTCATTAGCTTAAGATTAACGGAAGATTCAGAAAACATCAATTTTGTCATTTATTAATACTATCGAGGAAGTTTTTGTGCTGTTTTTGTTTTTCTCGCTTTCTTCCTTGTATGTAGTTGAAATGATATCAGTGTATTGTTGGTATATTTCTTATATCAACTAGATATCTTTTTATCGGAACTAGTTGCCTGATCAAGACGTTGAGGTTACTTGACTGTTGAGCAAAAATATAATGAGCATTTAGAAAATTATTTAAAATACTAAACTTGGTGATAGCTGAAAGCTTTTTTTTTTTCCCACTACTAGCAGTGTGATTAGCAATCACAGATATTTTATGAACAACGCTGATTTACTGCAAACACGGGGCTTAATAGCATCAATGAAATTATTTGAGTAACTGGAATCTTTCGAGCTAGCTTTTTGTTTCTGAATGGTAAGATAAAAGCATGAATAGGGTCGTTGACGACATTTGCAGTTCAATAATAGAAGCAGCCTTTTTTTCCTTGATAAAACTTTTGTTTAACTGATGTGATTTTTGGTTTGACATAATTACCCAAAGTATTTTCATTTATGAAGTCACCAAATATGTAAGAATTGCCAAAAAACCGTACTCACTGTATTCTGTGGTAGAGGTTAGAGAAGCTCTCAGTGAATAACTCGGCACATTGATTTTTCAAGGTTGTCTCGGATAATTTCATATCGAACAAACTCTGAACATTTAATTGTAGGCCGAATTATATAATTACTATGCTCGACAACAGTAATATTATTCATTCTTTTATTTATCAATTATTATTTCTATTTTTATCTTGTTATTTATTTTTGTTCACAATATCGCCAATGTCCGATTATTTCACTCTATCGTCTTTTTCGTGGCTTTTTATTTTGGTCAAGGTGCAACAATTTTGGAGTTTTCTTGCACCTGCTTTTTTTTCATCACTTATTTGAATTTTTTTTTCAGTTGTGTTGGAGATTATACATATAAGAAATCAAATTATAAAAAAAAAACAATTTACTTTATTGAGTTGGAGAGTATTTGTTTTGTAGCGTGTAATCCAATTTTTTTATTCTATTCTATTATAGAGAGTAAGTAAATAAGTTTTTGACGCAGAAATCCTGATTTGCGTGAGGTATTTGTTTTTTTTTTTTTGGTAAAGTTTTCTTTCGCAGATTTTTTAGTTGAATTTCTAAAAAGGGACACTCGTGGTAGACTGAGCCAGTAAATTATAAATTTTGTGCTTTTTCTTATTCAGTTGCAAAATATTATGCATTTTTTTTACTACATACCACATACAAGCAGCATACCTTTAGCCTATAAAACAACAGAAGATGGAAATTCAAGATTAAGCCTCACAGTCGTCAGTCGCTAATCTGCAGTCGATGCTTGATGGGCAGTTCTAACTTGATGCAGCTATCGCGTCAAAATCTGCCAAGTACTGTGCAGTATCAGACTAGTTTCTTCTCTTGAATAA